TCGTTCAGTTTCTAATCTTTTGCAGTCTGTCGTCCTTGTTCGCTACGGTTACTCGTGTTGTATCATTCTTTACAGCGGACTAGCTTGGAGCTTGTTCCCCAAGTGTCAGGATCCTATCTACGGCAGCTGAAGCGACGTCTGCTATCTGTAGCACGAGGTGGTGGTGATAGTCATCAGTCATTTTGTGTAGAAATCCGATCTTTCGTGGCTGCTGTTGTCGGATAACGCCTCTGTAGACTGAAGTCGCAGAGCTTGGTGTAATTGCTGAATGTCATAACGTCGGTTATCATGACTCAACTTAGCCGAAAAACAGATTCGGACGAAAGGAAGTTTTTGATATTAAAAAGAGAGCTGCAGACAAAGTCTGCAGCACGAGGGAGACAGAAAAAACAATGATTTCATGAAGAAGCTTAGTTAACAATGAGTCTCATAACGTGACAGCTGTATGTGTTGCATTTCTGGGACCAGCATCACGCGTTCGTCGCCATGTCTGAGGTATAAAAGCTCCGCTACAGCATACTGGCGCTCCGCTGCGGTAGACTGGGCATACTTGGAACCGCCCAAGGCAATTGCCAGTTCAACCCAGTCGGCTTTGGTGATGGTTGCGGCTGCAGCGCATGGTAGCTCCGCCAGAGTTTGTCAACGGAATATAAGGAGGTATAATTGTTCAGCAAAAGAGCGCGTTCTTTTTGTTGACAGTTATGAGCCCGGTTGGCGTAGCGGCACTAGTCCGCGATTCCACACACCCCCTGTGTCAACAAAAAGAACGCGCTCTTTTGCTGAACAATTATACCTCCTTATATTCCGTTGACACACCCCCTCAGTTTGGATTGAAGTTGTTGTATCACAGCTATCAATACAAGCTGGATGTTGACTTGGTAGTGATAACACCCCCTGTGGCTCTTGGCTCTAGGGCTTATAGCGTTATTTTTTGTGGTGCCTGTGGCTCTTGGCTCTAGGCGTGGTAGGGTTGTTCTAATGTGGCAGCTGAAAAGCCCTAAAAACTTGCTGCACCTACAGTTACGTGACAAAAGTTTGCGACCACCCCACACCGAATCACCCACTTACATCAACACCCATCGGATGCATGCATTCTCTTTGAAAATCCACCAAAATCGCAAATAATGCCTCAACGGCGTAGTTTCGGCACAGAAATTAGTGCAAATCGTCAAAGAGGCTATCAGCACAGTTCTGAAGCCAAGGCCTCCATGCTGACAATGTTGGATGCCGGTGTATCTGCCCGGCGTGTCGCGCAGGAGTTTAACACGACGCATTCCACAGTGTTGCGTATCAAGAAAACATGGACTGAAAGCCGCACACTTGCCGTAAAGCCTCGAAAAGGGCGTCCTTTGAAGTTATCACGAACAGCAAGAAGGTATATTATCCGCATGGCCTCTCGTGATCGCCAGATTTCATACGACGCGTTGATTGGTGCAACACCTACGCAGGTCTCGCGTCGTACGATACAACGCGTCATGGCCACGCATTTCGGGCGCAAATGGAAGGCAATGGATAGGCCAAAACTAGATGCTGAATCTGCTCGTCAGAGATTACAATGGGCAGAAGGCTGGCTTCCGGACATCGAAGAATTAGAGCAGGTAGATTGATTTGAAATTAATGAGTCTTGAACCCCGCTGACGCGCCCAGGTGATCTTCTCTGACGAGACCTCTGTGCAGAATAAATCATCCAACCCACAAGCCTATGTCTTCCGGTTTCCTCATGAGAAGTATAATATGAGCCTCGTGAACCTCAAGGATCATGTAAAGCCGACTCTACAGGTCATGATGTGGGGAGGTATCTGGAAAGAAGGAAGGACTCCTTTAGTGGTGATGACACGCGATGAAGCCGCTCAGCGGCGCGGCTATATAAAGGCTTTACGAGAGGGCCTACTTCCTCACTATGACGGCACACGGCGTTTTCAGCAAGATAATGCTCGAATTCACACCTCTCATACTGTTACAACCTTCCTACAACATCAGGGCATCGAGGATATTGACTGGCCGAAGAACTCACCGGATTTGAACCCGATTGAGCACTATTGGGCCATTCTGAAGAGACAGATTAGAAGAATGTTCCCTCATCTACGTAATTTACGTGACAATAGCATCGATATGATAGAATTCCAACGCTGTGTGCAAATTGCGCACAATTCAATCCCTCAGCAGCAGATTACAGCACTTATTGACTCTATGGAGCGCCGCTTGCGCGCTGTGATTCGGGCGCGAGGATGGTATACCAGATATTAATTGACGTTTCAAGCGCTACGAATTGATATATACAACTTTATATTTGAATAAATATACATAGAGAAATCATTGGTCAAAGACACTGTGCATGTTGCTGCCGACTGGAGGTGTGGTGGGGTGGTCGCAAACTTTTGTCACATTACCGTACCACTTATCGCCATGGGCAACGACCACCAGTGCCCGCCCCACCTCGAGAAGACCTCCGGGTCTTCATCCGCCTTGAAGCCGACGCTCCGGCCAGAAACCACATCGGCTACGCCATCCGAGCTCATGTAGCCAGCAAGACGGGCCTTGAGCTCAATCGAATCCCGCAAGTCCTCCAAGTGAACACCGGATGGGCCATTCGCGCCGCAGACAAACTCACCCGCGATCTGCTTGTAGAACGCCAAGCCGAATAGGCCGATGATCTCGGCGCAACGGCCGTTGAGACCAGCCAGAAATGGTACATTGGGCCGATGATCTCGGGGCAACGGCCGTTGAGACAAGCCAAAAATGGTACACCTATGCCGTAGACAACTGCCCCCGAGGACTGACCGACCTTTACGGAAACGAACTAAACTACGATGCTGCCGTCCGTGACGAAATAAACAACCAGACGGGACTCACGCCGGTCAGCATCCGAGTCCCTCGCCGTGACAACGAACAGCTTCCCTACAAGACACTCATCATCTCCTTCCTTGAACCGACAAAAAGACCTTGGAGCCTATTTGGCACCAGCCGACTAGCCAGACACATCGAAAGAACGAACCCTCCCAGGCAGTGCGAGAACTGCTGGGACTACCACACACAACATGCGTGCAACAGACAAACACGATGCAAACGCTGCGGAAAGACAAACCACGCCAGTGACAGTTGCACTGCCCCCCGAGCAGTGTGCCAACTGCCTCGGACCACATGCCGTGGACCTTGTGGCATGCCCGGCGCGGCCAAAGAGAGTCCATGACCTGCTTCATCGTCTCCCCAAAGAACAACGAGCATTAATCAGACAGATGGGATCCCGCCTTTTTCAACAACACCAGGCTGCACAGCAGCGACAGCAATCTCAGATGGAACCTAGCGGCCAGCCAGCAGCAGAGGCCGTCGCAGAACAACAGCGTGCCCCAGTGGCAGTCATGGAGCTGCCCCAGGAACACGTCAACCCCCAAGCCCTGACTAACTTCTTCACCTGCACCCTACCAGTTCTACCGTCATCGTCCCCAATGCGCCCCAGGGCCGTGGAACTCGGACCGGAAACGGCGCCGAGACGTCCTCTGCCGACATCACCTAAGCGGCGCCGTGCTAATACCAACCCGTCCTCTCCATGAGTCGGCGGCCAAGGATTCACAATTCCGATAGGAAGACGCTGAAGGTCTTCCAAGCGAATGTGGGCAAGATCCCGCCAGCCCACGATTGCGCCCTGGCACTGGCCGACTCGGAAAAATATGACATCGTCCTTCTCCAAGAACCCTGGACAGAGGCAAAGAACGCAAGATGCCTCACCAAGACTCACCCAGTCTACGACACCTACTCACCCGTAGACAGCTGGGACAGCAATAACACGCGGCCGAGGGTCATGACATACATTCGTAAGGACTCACGCATTCTCGCAGACCAGAAACGACCGACACTCACCCGAGACATCCTGTGGGTTACGGTGAACGGCGTCACAATCGTCAACTTCTATCGCCAACCCCACTATGCCTGGACATCCTGCTCCGGTGGTCGGCACCAGAAAGGACCCTTGTGGCCGGTGACTTCAATGCTAAGCATTATTCCTGGCAAACCGGACGACTGGAGGGCCGTGGAGAGGACATTGCCACCTGGGCGGCCGAAAACGGCCTGAATCTCTTGAATACGGCTGACGAGCCGACGAACCCACATGGCAACACAATCGACTTGGCTTTCTCCAACATTGCTTTGGCATCCGCGGTTGTGGAAGACCATCTCGCCACGAGCTCTGACCACTTCACTCTAAGTCTCACACTTCCTGATGTTAGCCTGAGCCTGCCGCAGGCGCCGGGCAAAGTGCGTGTCACGACTGAAGAGGAGCTGGAACGCTTCAAGGAACCTTGTCGAATACCAACGGACACGGCAACAGCCTCGCAGCTTGACACACTTGCCGCGACGCTTGTTGACCTCCTCCAGTCGGCTGCCAGAGCTGCCGGTCGCCCCGTACGGAAAGGAACGCGAAGTGCGCCGTGGTGGACCGACGAGTGCGCCGAAGCCGCCGCGGAGTACCGCGCCATACGAGGAATTCTCCCTTTAGGATTCAGTCAGGAAGTCCAACTAGCGAGAAGAGAGTTCCAGCGTGTCGTCCGCCGTGCCAAACGGCAGTACTGGCGCAACCTCATCGACGGCTTCTCGGATAGCGCATCGGTCTACAAGGCAGTCCGGTGGCTCAAATCACCAGGGGCTTTCCAGCCTCCACCGCTTCAAATTGTTGACGTTGTACACGAAACCCAGCTGGATAAAGCGAATGCGCTGAGACGCAGCACTCTTGAGCGCTGCACGGCGGCGGATGACTCCTCTAACGACTAAGCGTGCCTTGCACTTCTGAAAGCGTCCGTGCTTATCGAACTTATAGACATAAATCCACATGCAATCGAATATGGGTTTGCCCCGAGCCCGAGCATCACCTTTTGGAACCTCTATCCAAGACTGCATCTCCTGGTGGGGCAGTATGGAACATCATTGGGGGACACGTCTGTCGCCTCTATCAGGGATGTCTAACGGTTGGCCATCACCCGAGAGCATTTCGAGAAGCAGAAGTGGTCATGATCCCCAAGCCGGGAAAGAGAAATCTGTCGTGCCCCAGGGCTTGGCGCCCTATTTCTCTGCTCTCATGTCTTGGGAAGGGCCTCGAGCGGCTGATCGCCCGCCGCCTAGCGTGGGCATCGATTCATTATGCAGTCCTCCACCCACAGCAAGCCGGTGCGCTCCCGAAACGGTCGGCCGTCGACTTGGTAGCTGCACTGATCCACGATATCGAAGAAGCATTTGCACGCGGAGAGGTGGCCACACTGGTGACTGCAGACATTCAAGGAGCCTTTGACACAGCCATGTGCAACAGGCTTGTCCTCAGGCTCCGTGAGCAAGGCTGGCAGGACAATCTTGCGCGGTGGGCAGGCTCGTTCATGAGCGGCCGCTCCGCCAGAGTCAGATACCAAGACATCACGACACCGACGACGCCATTGCAGTGCGGCCTTCCACAGGGATCGCCCGTGTCTCCGATCTTGTTTTTGCTCTACACGGAACCGATCTATCGGCTAGGCAATCCCGAAGGACGGTTCGGGTACGCGGATGACACCGCCATTCTCTGCACTGGACCATCGCTGGAAGAAACATCGCGAACAGCGTCGGAATATCTCCAAGAACTCGTGAACTGGGGCGCCGCCAACGGCATTTCATTCGACCCGAAGAAGACAGAAGTCATGCACTTCTCACCAAGGAGGCGGGAAACCGAGCCGCCTGTCCGCCATGGTGACGTGGAGAAGCAACCTGAGGCAGCCATGCGCTGGCTAGGCCTCTGGCTGGACAGGAAGTTGACATTCAAGACACATGTCGAGACGTGGACAGCCAAGGCCCAGGCGGTCTCCCACCACCTCCGGAGCCTAGGGAACACGCGGCGCGGCGCCCTGCCGAGCGCTGTGCAGAGGGCTGTCAGAGCCTGTGTCGAGCCGATTCTGCTCTTCGGTGTGGAAGCGTGGTACCCAGGTCCAACGTTGCCGCGCTGGAGACGGCCGACGAAGGAAGGACCATCTAGAATCCAGCAGCTTGTGCGGAAAATGACCAAAGCTCTCAAGCAGGCCATTCGAGCCATTCTTCCAACCTGGAAGACCACACCGATCGCCGTGTTGCACCGGGAAAGCGGCATACCTCCCGTCCACCAACTCCTGGAGGCATGACGTCTCCGCTTCTCTGCCCGCATCAAATCACTAGACCACGCACACCCTCTGGCCAAACGCACCACCGAGGCAGCGCCACGGCCCATCATCAAGTGTATCAAGCTCAAGTACCAGCTCCCGCCAAAGTCATTTCCAACCCGATTGAGGAGGACGAACAGATTGCTTGGGAATTGCCAACGCCCCGTACTCATCCCGCGCAAATACAGCCACGAACCACAGCAGCCTCTCCAAACTGCATCCAAAGAAGAGTCCGCCAAAGACTTCGACCGATGGCTTCAAACCATCCCGCCGCTTAGTCTTATCGTGTACTCTGACGGCTCACTGTCCTCCAGCGGTGCTGCCGGATACGGCTATGTTGTTCACCAAAGCGGACGCTCTGTCTGCCAAGGCGCAGGACGCCTCGGCCCTGCCGAGGTGTTCGACGCTGAGGCTAAAGGAGCGCTGGAGGGCCTCAAAGCCGCTCTTAGGCTTACCCAGTCTGCCACACAACGAATAGTGGTATGCCTCGACAACATCGCAGCTGCCAAATGCCTACGAGGCAAGCCATCAGACTCATCACAGAGGGTCTTCCTGACCTTTCAGGCCCTAGCAAAGACGCACCGAAAGACCGAAGTCCGCTGGATACCCGGACACACGAAGATTCCAGGAAATGAACAAGCCGACATCCTTGCGAAGACAGGATGCGCCGAACCCGAACCCGCAGACGCAGTCCCAACACTGGCCTTCTTGCGAAAGACCGCCAGACAGCGGTCCAAAATCGCAGTGCAAGCCTGGTGGGATGCTTCCGCACCCGATAAGTATCAGAGTCTGACCCTCAAGTTCCCTTATAGCTGTCCTCCGGAGTTAGCTCTCCCACGAACAATGCTTAACCACCTCCTAGCCGCGAGGACTCATCACGGTGACTTTGCTGACTATCACGAAAGATTCCAGCACAACGACGCTTGTGTTACATGTTCTTGCGGTCGGCGCAAGGCGCCGACACATCTCTTCTATTGCCGGAAGATTCAGCCGCGCTGTCGGATGAGACTCGCACCCTCACCGACCGTGGCGATCAACCAAGCACTAGGCAGAGATTTCGACAAGTTCGTCAAGCTGGTGAAGGCAAGCTCTTTCTTTGAGAAGATCTGCCCGCACCACTAGATGAAATCATCCATCACAGCACTTTCGTGCTCCCTTTCCTTTGTTTCTCTCTTCTCCGGCGGCGACAGGCGGAAGGTGGTCTCAGCACCTTCTACCCGCGCACGCCTCTTCCGGCTGCCACCGCAGCCCGCACCATGACCAATCTGGTCCAGTAGATAGCATCACCTGCACAACCCGCTGACGGGTAACAGAGTAGACCGTGAGCGCCTTTGAGCTGATGCCATGTTAGATAGTGTTTTGTTTACGTAGCCTCACGTAGCAAATTTAGCCACTAGCCTAGCACGTCCTGTGCCCCGCTAGGGGACCTGAGTGGCCTGAGGCCACTGGACGGAAAACACACATACATACATACATACATATGGCTCGGCTCATAACAGCCTGGTGGCATGCAATCAACCAATAGCAAGCAACTCGCAGCACAGTCTGCATCAGAACAACCAACGCGCCAAGCCAGGCCACATCATCAGCGTTCGTTCGGCCACTAAATCCGCCAATAGCTGCCGCAGAGCTCAACTCGTCGTCTGTTGACACACCATACCATCAACACTTGCTCGCTCTACCTGATTGTCCTCAGACAGACCTCGAGAATCATGCCGAACCCGAGTCCCAAGCGCAAGCGGTTCTGCCACTGCATAGGACGTCGCAGACCTCGTGGACAACATTTGAGCACGCGGTAGTCCCATTTCAGCAACCCCAACCATGTCCATCCCATCGTGAGGTGGACGCCTCATCGCACCATAACCTTGATAACCCATGGCAACACTTCGATCTTGATACTGGACACAACCTGCCAAGGCACACTTCTTTAACCAGTTCCCCTCTGACGTCCCGTGCTGAAGTCGCCTCGTCAAGCCACTCATCAACCCGCTTGTTTCTGACCGGCTCGCCAGCCGTAGCTTCAACTATTTCCGAGCCTTCAGCCTCAGTGGCGCTCTCCCAATCATTCCTTCCAAACCATCCTGATATTACGATTCGAGCTTCCTTGCAAGCTATCTTTGCACAAGAAACTGGCGGCAGTCGCGATTTTCTCGACGCACAACAGAAAGTGGACGACGGGGTCTTCCGAACCTTCTTTGACATCCATTGTCGCTGTATGCATTTCGTCGCCGTATTAATTCACACGGCTAATCATCTTCTAACATTCTACACTCTAGGCTCCTCCGAGACTCCACGTGATGAACCTGAAAACTCCCATACACTGCGGGAGAGAGTCCAATACCTACAACGATATCTCCCTCCAATCTCGACCGTATTCGGTCCTTGTGGCTCATATGACCCAAGCGCTTCTTTCCCTCAATGGCAAAGTTTCCTCTCTGACCAACCTGCTGAGCCGCTTTCCTTCAGTAAAACGCAAGACTCCTTGCCAGAATCCGTGATAACGATTGAAAGGCTATGGGATATCGACAGTGTTTGGTTTGGCGCTAAGAGCTTGCAGGCGATTCGACCTCCAAACGACTTCCGTCTATGTTTTTTGCCTCCGTTTCAACGCAACATTTCGACGGATCAAGTCATTCAACCACATGGACTCAGCTTGGCCGGCATCCGGCCCATACTGCTAGGTGTCTTTAATGTTTGCAGTGTTCGATTTGAAGTCTTTGTTTACTTTCCTGGGACAGCCCGCAGCCCTCGTTCAAAGACTCAAGCCTCAAGAAATGGCCTCTCCCTTGAACGACAGAAAGATTTCTACGATAAGATTATTATACCAGCGGCGTATGAGACTATCTCTGATCCCGCCCGACAAGAGATTCCTCGATCTTATGACATTGTCTACGCAAAATCCCGTGCATTCCAAGAGAAGCCCGGTACCGGCCGTTGGCTGCCGGAAGATGAGAGCCGTGCCTTTCAGCTCCGGTATACACTTCCTGCTCAAGGTCTCCCTCCCTTCTGGAAATCTGTTGTTGAGAAGGCAAACGCTGTTGAGGTGGCCACTCAACGTGGTGAGAACATACGATATTTCCACAATCCGCAGTTGCTCTTTCAAGCACACGACCTGAAGAACACAATTACAAAGCCGAGCTTGAAAGACACTCTGACACTTTTCCGGGATACAATTCTCGCTGCCTTCGACCCAGATCATCTCGATCTTCACTCCTGTTGGCTCGATATTGGAGCTCGTGACTATGTATCGACTTCGTCACCCTCCACCCTCGCCGGGCCGGGCTCGTACACACTCCTTTGGAAGAGCCATTGCCTCGCTGACCTCGACAAGCAGTTGCCGTTGCTCTCGGCTGAGAGCCCGATGGCTTCTTCTCACTTTCGCTCATTTTTACTGCGGGATGTAGGCACCTACGTTTCCAAGGCAAAATCGACGCGAGGCTTCAACCCTGGCCACCCAGAAGGCTGCAACCGCTTAAACGCATACAACAAGGATTGAAGGAGTCCTCTACTCATTTAGGGCATATTGTAAATGCGCAGGTGGTTTGGGAAGTATATGCAGAGGCCTGGTCTGCGTTTGCACAAGTTGATCCAATCGTGGACGTTAATCAAATGCCCAAAGGTGTACCTTGTTGGCTGAAAACCAGAAAATATGTGCCACCAAATGACGGCTGGTCCAATTTTGTGTTCCAGCATCTGTTTAACCGCCCGAGCCGTCCGAGATGGCATGAGCTCCACTTTCTCCAGCTTTACCGTTCTTTCAAAACAATATGGACCTCCATTGATGGGCTTAACAGCGATTTTGACGACAAGTTCCGTCACCTCATAGGGAATTATATCCTGGTTACCTTCAACAACTCTTTGACGAAGGAGGTTGGCACTATTCACACCCAAGGAAGCTGGTACGATGGAAAGCCACCATTCTTTCAGATCCAGTTCTGGGCACCCTACTTTTCACCACCTCCAATTGATCCGCAATTGGGTATGCAGGTCATACCGGGGCCAATAGTGGCCACGGCAAAGGACTTCCACCACCGTGCAAGCGCCTGCTTTCAGCTATGGCCACGAATAATGAGACCTCAACAGCTGTACAAGAGTAGATGCAGGGAGAAGAATGATGTTTGCAAGAAAGCACTGCAGAATATGATTGCACTAGTTGGACCACACTGGAGCAGTGAGGCTGATGATTTGCCGAGTACACTGCTGTGGGGTATGTCTTGCCAAAGTCACTGGCAAGGGCCATATGAGGACCATCTTCGTCTACCTCTTCCAGTAACATATATCAAAGGAGACTACCGCGACATTAAGATTAGTCATCCAACAATTATTTTGCCAACTCGCCATAACGTTACTTCTTTAGCGGAGGCAGTGGAGTCAATTACTGGCCTTGGAGTGGGAATCCTAAAACTCATTCATTGGATGCGGGAAGTTCTTGATAATGGTGGGCAACAGTACACTCTGCTCAGTCATCTCGATGAGAAACATAAAGTGGTTGAGCCTGATGCCAATTCTGTATCGTTATTGCAGCGGTTCTTATCTCAAAAGAACCCTCCACAAAGATTGATAAGTGTGGGCAACGGAAGAGATACGATCTTAGCCGATGTCGAGCCCGAAGATGAGTTAAGCTCGACGGACATGAGTGACAACGACATTGACAGTTAAATGTGTGATGCTGGCCTCTTTGGTGCCGTCTTTCAGCCTTTCTCTACCTCTGTTAATGGCAATACTGTACTTTACCAAAATATGTGACTTTATTGATAGTTGACAGCAAAATCACGAAGGCCTCAGAGCACGTAAAATGAGGCGTTCAGCCACTTGACTTATAAACCGCCAACGTCGAACATTCCCGTCCAAACACCACTTTCGCTCTCATACACTTTCTAGCTTAGCTCGTTCAAGTTTGTTACAAAACTCTTACAAAATGACTGGATGCTGGCTCTACATGCTTTGTCGACAATCGGAATTATGTCGCAGCATTTCGTAGAGCGAGCTTGAAATACATTGTTTGCAAAACAATGTGTGCAGAGACGGGAATTCCTCCGAAAGGATATACCGTACGAACACATGCCAGCTTTGTGAAGAGCAGAATAATGGTATAAATGATCGCATTCACTCTACACTAGTTGCTGTTGGAGAAGGTGTACCGTGACATTTTTTATATAAACCAAAACAAAAGAAAACAAGTGATCGTGAAATCGTAAAGAGAGACGGTGTGGACCGACTGATCTACCCTCGGTTTTTGTCTTTTTCGGTCAGTGGTACACGAACAGCACGTCCACTGCCCAGTAGGATGTCCCAGTTGCCTTCACCAGTCTGTTCAACATCATAACTGCCAGAAAGCTTAAGGTTCAATTTTTCCTGACCGACAATAAAGGAAAGCTCATTTTGGCTGGGCTCAGTAGCAGTAAAGCCCTTCGTATGGGATATATTCATCGCAAGCCTTCTGTCGGGTTTCGATCCGAACAGGTTTCGAACGACAGGATCGTTCTCAGATTGGTGTTTCTTAGAAGGCAAGTTCTCTGATTTATCGAGTACATGTGATCTTTTTCTCTCGAGAATGTAGGTACTTGCGGACCCTGGTGTCGCCGGTTCGCTCGCGGGTAATGGAGCGGCCCGTCGCCCCGATGGCGTGGTGGCTGTGCCTCGACGACTTGGGCCTTCATCCGAATTAGCGATATTCATCGACATGCTGTCCAGGGAAGCATATTCCTACCGGCACCTTGATCATGGCTACCAAAGTTGCCATCGGACCCAGGTCCTCCTGTTGATGGTGTTGGAAAAAAGTCATAGATACGCGATTGACTGCGAGGTGTTTGCCGCTCCCTGTGAGGGAGTTGCTCTCTAACTTTCGTTTCCTCATTTAGCCATATCTTAACCCCACAAGGACCCTCGCCCGGCTTTTTTTTGCAGACCCAGACTTTTTAATCAGTATATTCATAGTTTCCCCAAAGTGAGTAGTGAATTTGGACTTACAAAGTGTGGGTATATACTCCATGCGTGTATCGCAAGGGCACATCAAACGACTATTTTCAATATATACACCTTGGAAGGTCGATCTCAGCGGGCGATTTGTCGGCAGCATTGTTGTTGTGTCGGCGTTGCGGCTTGGGTTGTGTCTAAGTCGAGAGTTCTGGTGGAGTGTCTTTACCTGGAGAGCGGAATAAAGCACTTTACGCGTCGACGCGTCGAGAATAAAATGGTACTCTAGGGTGTTCTTCCGATGACTAATCCTAGTGCTAGAAATTAGTGTCTCGGACTGGCCTGACGCAAGCCACTGACGGACAAGCCACATTCTTCTCCACCATTTATTATTTCCTTGTCGCCTGCCACTTGCCGCCTGCCACCTGCCGCCTGGCTAGCATGGAGAGAGCCCCTCATGTTCAAGCCCTACGGCGTCCCCACGATCGTCAGGACTTGGCCTCACATGTTCCTAAAGCAGACTAACCGGGGTTCGACCCATCGAACCCAAGGCGTCACTGGCATCACAGGATCCGACTGACGACATAGCTACCTATTATAGTGTCTTTGCGTATAGCACATGTGGGTTTCCACAGATATCATGCAAAGTACAGTAATTGTCGAGTAGTGAAACATCTGGCCAAGGCATTATTCGGCGGGGGTTAGGCGACATATTTGGCAGTGTTTTCTGGCCAACCTACTAGCCCAGTCCTTGGAAACTGTAGTAAAGTCAGATTACGAACCCGAATGACAAGGGGTAGAGCCGGAATATCGCGACAGGGGGCTAGAGTTGGATATCACAATGCATGCATGTGCGTGGGCCAGCTCAGTGCGTACCTCTACAATGTAAAGTGCCAGCAATGGGCCAATCAATCACTGACACGGAAGACATGCTGAAATATTGCCAACAGTTGCTACGCCTTGCACCAAAACAACTCATTCACATGCAGGGGATCAAAAAAGCCAGAAATTGCGGGGTATGCATATTTCCAGTAGATCCTGTTGCCTTCGTACGAAGAATAGAGAACCCACCTCGCACACTGCAAGAGGTGTACTCGCCATCAATCCTTAAACATCCGACTCCTTTGCAATCTGTGTCTCGCTGAAAATGGGCCAATTTACAGAGGCGGCGTCGCTTGTTTTCCTTATCAAAGGTTCGTTGTTACAGCCTAGTCTTCCGATGCATGCTGACCATATTGTTTTAGAAAATATGCGTGTGATAGAACCACTTTTGGAGACACATGTTATTACATATGAGGAAAACGACTTCATGTGTGCTTCTGTTATTGGGAAGCCTGGTGTTTATGACAGCAAAGGAAAGACATATCAACCTGTGGTTCTAGTAAAGCAAAGCGGAGAACAGAAGAGGGAGTTAGATGCGCTGCAAGGGCTCTTGGGAAGAACGCAGGCCCTGGCAAGCGACATTTTAAAAGGAATACAAGCGAGTCACGACTAAGCAACTCCAAACTGGTGCAGTATTGTTGCGGGCCAGGGCACTGTGGCGAAGAAACACCGTAGCTCAACCATGGCTGGAAGGGTTAATGAGAAGCCGGAGGACCACATATGAGACTCATTGTTAACTAAGCTCTTTTTTAAAATCATTCTTCCTGCTGTTGCTCTTGTGCAGACTCTGGTCTGCAGCTGTCTTTTAAATACTAGAAAACTTCCTTTCGTCCGAATCTGTTTCTCGGTTAAGTTTAGTCATGATAGCCGACAATATAAAACCCAGCTATTACACCAAGTCTGCTTGTTCTATCAACAGGGGCAGTTTCATCCGACAGCTATGGACTTGGATTCAGCCGTACACTGGAGAAATACGGGTTATTGCTGGATCGAGCCACTCATCGACTGGGCTAGCCTAAGATTCCTCCCGAGTATCACCGACCAAGTTGGAACTGGGACTTTGCGGCGGCGCTATCTTAAATGCGGTGGGCATATCAGGCATTTCTTTGACCTCACTCGTCGTGCTGATCTAGGACTCTACTGGCTCTGGCAGTATCCCACCGAGAGAATTGTTGCAGATCGAATTTTGTCTTGGCTATCGCACCTTTGTTTACAACAAATGAGAACTGACGTTATGCGTATAATAAGGCGTGACCTTCTTTCTGGTATCTATCAGGCAACTCTGGACGATCAGGTCCAATTTTGCCACGAGGGTCTTTCCGCCATGATGTCCAGGACTACGACCGCTGTATCTGGTAGCCGTACCTGTTGCAAGGACCCTCACGAGGTTGCTCAAGCGCTATTTGGATATGAGGACGGTTGGCTGCGACGCCATTGGGAAGACAAGCCATTCAGGATACTTCATCAGCGGATACGTGCTGCTCTGCAGCAATTTCCAGCTGAACGAGGGCTATCACAAGCATTTGCATGCCGACTCCGTCGTTACCTTTTTGCTTATCACTGGGTATTGCCCTATCCCTCTCCAGCAGGGTTGGCATCAAAAGCCAAGAATGGTACGTGACAGTGATTTTCTATTGATATGCGTGCGGAAGTCAAACATGATGTGGAAGATACTACGTTGGACGATTGGTGCTGGGG